ACTAAACAACCCGGTAGCTATTCATTATATATAGTTCAGATTAGGTATATATTATTTTAGTTTATAAAAAAGGTATGAATATGACTCATTTCCTGGGAAATATATAAAAATTTTAATTACTTCTAAGAATCAGTAAATATTCAAAACACAGTGTTAAATTGCAAACGTTAAATAAAAAAAAATCAAGATATTTAGCAAAATATTTTTTAATTAACTTTTATTATTATAATTATATCATTTTTACAATTGAGGTATTCTTAAACGACCTACGTATAAAATAAAGGAGGTTAAAATTTAAAAAAATTATAATAAATTTTTTTTTAAATTAAATTTTTTTTTTTTACTATAAAATTATTGCATTAATATTTGTTCGTTAATAAAACCAATATAATGTACCAAAAATGTTATTATATCACTATAACTAAGCCATTTATGGGCACTGAATGGTGTGGTAGAGGCCTGTAGGCACCCACGCCAGTACCGCTTTTCTGCCGCATAAGTGCATTTTTTACGGAACTACTTAAACATTTGTAAAAAATAATCAGCGTTTCAGAAAGAGAAATATATTCTCCAGATGGTTTATTTCAGCACGTTTTGCGTTATTGTAGGCCGTTTAATTACAAACGACGCTTGATTTGTAACTTGAAAATTTTTTTGTTAAAAAAATTGACTTTACTGGTGTTTTTCATAGCCTTAGACAATTATTTTTTAATATTTCTTCATGTTTTATTATTCTATAATTATTCAGCTTTAATAAAAGACCAACTATGAGGAAATTAAGCTTAATGCTGATTCTCAGTGACCAAAAAACAAACTAAAGCCAATGTCGTCAATCCGCCATCTTTGGACGCCATTTTGGGGCAGTGCGTTCACTTTTTTTTGTAGGAACATTGGCTTTTTTTTAATAAATTGTTACAAGGAACACAACGATATGCAATTTATAGGGATGTGGGGGGAAGGGTGCACGGTAAGGGGGTCTGGCCCACAGACTAATAGGTTTTCATAACTAAAATATGTCATGAAATACTTTTGATTGAAATCTATTTGCTAAATATCTAACGAAAACTACGTCATTCTTTTAATCTACTTTCTGTAACTGGGGCAATAATTTCCCAAAACTATCGAGTGCAAGAGAAAATAGAGTAGGAACTTCCATCGCGCGATATACCCCTCTCTCTGTAAAAATGTCCATGCAGCGAGAATATCATTTCGCCCCCCTCTCATTTTCGGTAAAATAAAATTAAAATCAACAATAGATAAGCTATATGAATAAATAAAATGTGTAAACTAAAATCGATTAGGAGACTGGCAAGTCTATAGGCTAATAGTCGGTATATATGTTGGTATTGTATTGATACCTGAATATTACTTTTATTTAAGTTTTATGTTATATTCAAAGATAATAATTTATATCAACATATTTTAAGACTTTATTATTCAATTATCCTTCGATTTGTACGTGATATTCTTAGCATATCTTCCGCGACTCTCTTAAAACCATATCTTTATTTGGGATTATACACACTAATAAATCAAAGACATTTTTCACATTATTCATTTTTAGCTGAAAAAGTTCTAGAAATGTTATGAAGGATGTCTTCCTTGTGTTGAATCTAAACAAATGCGTCATATATTCAATTGCATTTTTTTTTTTTTTAATTTTCAAGTATATATATCAAATAAAACAAAAAACAATATCGTTACAACCACACAAACATAAACTTTTTACATAATAATTGTTATTTTGATTAGTTTAATTATTTTGTTTATATACGTTTACTTTTATTACAATTAGTTTCTGTATTATTTATTGTAAGTAGAGTGTGAATGTGCTCCCTGAACACTATTATAAATGTCCTTAATTGCGACAGATTGTAATCTTTCTGAATAAATAAATAAATTTAAAAAATATATAATAATTAATTATTAATTATTAATATTTATATAATATGTTTATACTATAAATTAATTAATTTTAAATATTAAATATTATATTTGTTCGTTTCGTAACAAATATTTTCAATTTTTACACATGATAAACACTCGACATTTTTTTTTTTTTTTTTTTTGTGTGTCCATCGCTGTACCAATCAAAATCGAAAGTCTACGCCTATGTTTCAGAATAAAATAAAACATATATCAATACTTTCCTAACAATTTACTAATCAGAAAAGGTATAAAAAAAAAATGTTAATAACCATGTATGTGTAAAACTAATGCCAGTAATCATGCTTCATAACAACATGCATTTATATGAACGATACAGGATACAGGATACAGGATACGATCGGATACTGGAAGTATCAAAGTTAATTCTAATCATACTAGTGAATTTAATTAATTGAAACCTACTTAAAACATCCATCAAACTCACCGTCCTATAGCGATAAATCTATATTGGTTATTAATCAACATCACCGCTAATTACACACTAGCCCATTGACGTTCAAACAGGCAAGGTACCCATTCGACTCATGCTCATTCTTCCATAATAATTGAAGACCCTACGATATCTTTTCATCTGAAAGTACATCAAGAGGTCCCTAGTGTATTTTACGCCCTCATGACATCCAATTAACAACTAAAACGACCAACAGGACTGTATTTTTTTTTTTTTACCTAAGGATTTTAAGTTATTAAAGAGAACTCATGGCAGAAGAATTCTTTTGTTTCTCTGCCCATCCTTGTTCACATTAGAAACGAAAACATTAATTAGTAATATAAAACAATAAAATAAAGTACATAATATTTTATTTATTTATTTTCACCCTCCCTACTTTGCCTTACGGCAATACGGGTTTGGGTGAGGATAGCGTAATAAACGATACATCTATCAAGCCATCCCAGCCACTTAGACGTTAGTGCTTCAACAGAAGTCCACTTCTTCATTATGGATTGCCTTCTGCCCCCTTCTCCCTTCGCCTAAAGGCATAAAAGTTAAAGTTTTCCGGTCCCACAATTGTCTACCACGGGTATACGAATTATTCGATTACGGGGAGTTCTTCTCTTTTACGAGTAAGAGGAAATCATCTTCTGTCATAACGTGCAATCCCGTTTTCCTCCTTAGTATGTCCTAAGACCTCAAACATAGTGTAGGTCGTTACTAATAGTCATTACTAGGACACAGATGATCAAAGTTCTTGCCAAAACTGTGCATTTTGGCCCAAATGCCACCATGTCCCGTGAGGACTTGCTAAAACCAGCAGTCCGAGAGCATCCGTTTCGCTGTTAATCTTGAGTGCACGGTCGGAATAAATTTTTTTTATCATCCTTTAACTACATATACTCCACTTTTACAAAAACTTCTTCGTTTAACAAGCTTTCAATTACATATTAATTAAGTTGAGGTTTATATAGAAAACATTTGAAATTCACCTCAAGTTGAGTAAAGAAATGATGTGATTTCCTATCCAGTCAACTTAATGTACCCGTGTTTTCTGCAAAAATTGCTACAATCAACTGTTGCAAAGCTTTTGATTCTTTACACTATTACACTAGTATTGTAATTGTAATTTATTGTAACAACTTGAGGTGAATCTCAAACTTTTTCCAAATAAACATCAACTTAATTCATATGGACTTGAAGCTCATTAAATGAAGAAGTTTTTGTAAAAGTGGGGTAAATGTAAAAAAAAAACACAAATAATTAATGACTTTTTTTAAACGGAACTTAGCTGTGTTAAATCCTCTTTAAATAGTTTTAGCAAGGACAAAATCTACTTTCAGTTAAAGTAAATTTTCTCTAGTTCACAATGTTTAATTCCTTGAATCAAATATTTTAAGTTATTGCCTCCTATTTAATAAAAAATGTGACTCACTTAAAACACAAATCTTAAATTTCCTACTTATTTACTAGAAGTTGGGCAATTGTTTATATAGTATTTTTTTATAGCTTTTGACGTCTAGTATTATCCTCTTAAAAATGTCCATCTACTTACGGGATATCTTGTATATACATATAAATTATATAATCAAAACCTATGAACATATTTAAGTTTTAAATAAAAATACTTCCTTCAAACAGTAATGCTTGTATATGTATTACCTCATAGTCCCTCAAACAGAAAAACAACTACTGGAAGAATGCCCCCCAATTTGAAAAGGTAAAAAAAAAAGTAAATAGGTGTATCTACAATATATTTGTTTTATTAACTTATTTATTGAAAACTATTACCTACATTCTGTATCAGATTCATACATACAATCTGTATCAGATCAAAAGTATTAAGAAAAAGTATTTGATTTAATTAAAAATCGCTTGTTCTTTTTTTTTTTTTTCAATAGAATAGAATTGAGAACAAGGTCTATAAATGAACTATAAACTCATAACAAATCTATGTTTGGATAAACTGAGCTCAAATTCCAAGTGACCTTGTTCAAGTGACACCATTCCCAATTTTCTTAAGCAAGTATAAATGTTCCTTATTTTAAAATAAAATAGTTAATCAATTCTTATAGTTCTCGATATGTATCGATGGATTGTCAAGAATTTCGCTACGGCAGGAAAGTAGGGATAAAATTGTATCTTTTCCTTTCTTTAGGAAACCAATAAGTTATTTATATACATCAAGTTAATGAATATTTCCTCAAATAAATTTTACCATGAAATAAAAAAGTAACGTTTCTTCATACTCGTTGTATTCGAAACCTAAACGGGACAACACAGATCAAATAATTGCAAAAATCTATTCACTCTAGAAGGTGCGAGCACTATACCAGCCATGTCCTAAACGATATAAAGTTTCCACAAAATAAGATATAATTAACCTGCTAGAAAATAAGTAATCCCAATCCACAAATAAACAGTATAGCAAAGTAGTCGATCTCTAGCAAGATGGTATAAATGGATTGGCTCACTAGCAATTTGATAAAACGAAATGAAACACCACCACCTCAACAACCACAATACAAAATCAACAGCGAGAGTTATTATATGATTTTCTATATACAAACACTTTCTGAAAGATCAACAAAACCTCTTATCAATGTCAAACATATAAGTGATTGCTCCATAAGATTGAAATATAGCCCCACATTATGTAGATTATACACTAAACCAAAAATGCAGATAACCTAGAAGAGTCATATTCGTGATCTACTGTAAAGAATATTGTCGAAAATCATAGCTATTTTGGAACTTAGCGACAAATGAAAGGTTTATCATTACAGTACATATCTTACTTTTTACATAACATCTACTATATATGTTTGTGTACAGAATAATTCAATTCTTAATTGTCAAACTATCGGGTGTGATTCGGACAAAATTTCCAACAAAAAAAAAATTATCAAATCCATGTGAAATGGAATCAAGTCTAATTTTATGTTTCCTAAGCGGGTCACGTTTTCTCATTTATATGAAGTGATTACAAAAAAATAATATAAGTAATTAACAATTACGTCCTAATAAATAAGGCAAAATTTCCTTCACAAACAAGTGTAGTTTGTCTTTTGCAAAAAACATTTAAATCCGAATTTTGATCAACTAAACTACGCTAGTTGTGTTTTTCTTTTAATCAAGAATTATTAGCGATGTGTTTTATCATCGTACAACTGTACTTTAGATACTCCACTTTTGTAAAACCTTCTTATATTCATTTGGAGTTAAATTTCAAATAAACCAATGAGGTTGTCGTTTTCATTTATTTTGACTTATTTTAACTAAAATATTGACTAGAATCAACAAGTAAAATATATGGTATATTAAACCTTACATATTAGATATATTTTTTCTTTAGATAATAAATTGCAAATTTCCTAATTATGGGACTAGACGAGGTGGTTTTGGGCCGTGCGTGAGCCTGTCAACGCCTTGACTGATGATGATATATCTGCAGCGATTAAATCCTCTGCATAGCTCTCTCTGAATAAACATTTCAATGGCTCCGAATAAAATATTTCTCAAGCTCAGTCAACTAAATCCAGAGGACTTTATTCCCCTATCTATTTTATTATTTTTCGACCCCGTTCTCTATATAAAATAGTTATGAGTTTAGGGGCCATAATCTATTTTTATTGCAAAAGTACTTCCACATTATTGTCAAGTAAAATAAATTTTAGAACAAATAACAACTTTTATAGAGGCTGGATTTAAAAATAATAATTTACTTTTACTGATTTTTTTTTAATTATTGTTTTTTGAACAAAATAAAATCTCGTTTATAATTCCAAATATTCGTAGTAAATAGATGTTGTTTTTTTTCCTTTTGAAAATATTTATTACTTTTAATCTATATAAATAAAATAAACGTTTTGTCTGTACACTGAATTGAATCAAACCGTTTTATGATATCTTTCCGTTTCATGCATTGCAGACACTAACACATTGCAATGAAATTTAGTCAGAGGTAAGCTCACCAATAGCTTATTGTAGACACTGGAAATTTTAGTATTATATTAAGGTTTTCTTGACTAAAATCATAGGCTTTGAATGAAAACAAAATGTTGATTATAACCACAGTTATGAATTCTTGAGTAATTTGTCTAGAGATCTCGGTTAATGTTAATACTAAATGTTAATAATAAACATATGTTTAGAGGTTAAAGAACATCTATATAAATAAAATAAAGGATTTGTCTGTACATTGAATAGAATCAATCAGTTTTATCTTTCCGTTTTATACATTAAAGACACCAAATCCACTTTTAAAAACTTTTTTTGTCCGTATGAATGTCCGCATTGTCCAACAAAATTTTGACAGAGGTAAGCTCCGCAATGGCTTATGGTAGACTTTTGAAATTTTGACAGTACATTTATGTTTGTTTGACTTAACATATAGGCTTTAAATGAAAATAGAATATTAATTAAAACCAAAGTTATGAATTCTTGAGTAATTTGTCTAGAGATCCCGGTTAGGCAGTTACTTTTTTCGATTCCCATCCCAACCTACTCTACCACGAGCCACATTTAAAAGTTATACTATTCAAATGAAGGAAAAAATTATCCACAATTCAACGGGAAAAATCCAATATACCGAACATCGGTATTCCTCCTTTAATCTCTATTTATTGAATAATAATACAATCAGCCACTGCTGGAGGGCTATAAGTATTAGGGCTAAGAGTTCTCATTCAAACAATATATACAAATAATAGAGAAATAAATATAAATATAAAAAGTAAACAAATAATACTGATGAAGAAAGTAAATAAAATTTAAAAAAAGTAAACAAATAACATAAAATAGAAACTTCTAAACACAATCATACCTATATACTATATATACATTCGCCCAGGAATCTCCGAGCCATGCTTTTCCCCCACATGTGGAAGGCAAAGCAAGACTCCAGGAGATCCCAGTGCCACTTTTCCAGCCGCATCACTAGTATTAGAAGCCAGTAGAGACTGAAAGAGGGCACTAGAGCCACAGACGCTCGGGACATGAGTGGAGAAGCTGTCCATTGCCAGGACTCCAGAAGCATATTTACAAGAGATCTCTGGGCCACTGCCGTTTTACCCTTCGTGGAGGATTGTAGGGATGAAGGGAGCTGGATAGGGATTGAGCTAGAGGATTTGGATGATGTATAAGGTTCTGGTGAAAGTTTGAGAATCTGGATGGGATGATGTCAAGGACAAATGGGATGTTAAGGTCATGGTGTAGGGTCTTATTTGTGACAGAATATGGGGCATTGACCATTGTTCTAAGTACTTTGGACTGGAAGGATTGGATGCGTTTGATATTCGAATGTTTAGCAGTTCCCCACAGTTCAAGTCCGTAGGTCCAGATAGGTTTCAGTATGGTCTTGTAGATTAAAAGTTTATTTTCAATCGAAAAATGAGATGTCCTACTTAGTAATCTATACAGCTGGCCATATCGTCGGTTAAGTTCTTGTCTTTTAAGTCTGGTATGTGGGTTCCAAGTTAGTCTTTTATCTAGAAGGAAGCCAAGGTAACGGACTGTGTCTGAGTAGGGAAGTGGAATTGAAATAAAAAGGATTGGCGGACAGGATCTGCGTCGCAGGGTGAAAGTGATATGTTTACAGTTTGATCATTGATTTTGATGCGCCAGTTGTTGCACCACTGCTCAATCAAGGAGAGGTGAGATTGTAGGTTTAGAGATGCTATTTGAGGATCTGAGTGGGAGGATAGAATGGCAGTATCATCAGCAAATGTAGCTAGAATTGTATCGGGATTTGAAGGGATATCGGAAGTGAAGAGGATGTAGAGAACTGGGCCCAAGACACTGCCTTGTGGAACACCAGCCTCAACTGGATAGTAAGTGGAGAATTCGGTGTCACAACGGACTTGAAAGGAACGATTTGAGAGGTAGGATTTGAAGACTAGGTATAAGGATTGGGGTAAATGGAACATCGGTATAACTCGTTTTCGCATCAAACGGGTAAAACACACTCATTTTTCAACTTTGTCTGATCTTCCCGTTCAAGGTGTCATTCGATATTCAAATTAAGTTATAATTTTACGCGGATGCAGGTGACTCAATTATTTTGCCAGCGAGTTTAACGAAGTGGAGAGACTACAACTCTTTTTAATTAATTAATCGACTCCACAATCTCCTCGCTCCTTCATAAATGTAAATTAAACACTTAACAAATTTTAATGGTTCGATGGCGGTCGGTTTAGTTGTGCGGCACGTAAACAAATAGCCGATTAACAAAGTTTTTGTTATGACTATTGCGAAACGTCGACTTCCATAAGCACCGTCATAAAAAAATTTTAAATAACCCCCCTCCACCCTCACGACCCATTTTTATGAAATTGAATTTGGACTCCCCTTCCCCCCGTAATACAAAATCCATCTCAAAAAAATATTCTCAAATTTTAACTATACACCCGTCAACGACGGGTACATCAGCTAGTATTTCATATAATAATTTTAGGCATAGGGCAGGGACGTGCAGCTATGAGGAACGGTTATTTTTATTGTAATATTGTGTTGCAGTTATAGTTCTTGACGGAGGCAGAGATGGGAAGCGTGAGATGTGACAAGAAAAAAGAGACACATAGCCGATCTGACAAATACTGCGTGCAGATTTGATATCGGTAATAATATGTTAGGGATATTTTAAAAATAATATTAGGCATTTACGACGGAATTTGGATAATTTTCGGAATGTTTATTCTGGTTAATATCACTTTCTCTCGGTGGGTCATGGTCTACGGGAAGAATGGACCTTAGATAGCACATTACGGAAAGAAGCCATCTTTAGGTTAAAAGAACCCACTATTAGTGGAATCTCGTAATAAAAAAATAATAAAAATTCTTGTGAAGTTACTTCATAGTTATTACCAGATTATATTACTTTCTATTTTACTACCTATTTTTTCGACTTATATGGCCTCGTCTTTTATTTATATCGAATATCACAATACCGGACGACGAAAAATTATAAATGCTTCCTCGAAGTTTATCGTCTGGATACGGAAGGTTCTGCAAGATTCGTAGACATTTTGGACTTTATTTGCAAAACGAAAGGAGGAAGATCTAATCGATCCTACAATTGGATATGAGATGAGCAGTGAGATATCAAAATACAAATTGAGAAGAAGAAAATGTATAAAAAAATGCATTCCGTACCTGAAAGAGAAATATAGAGAAATTTGGGACGAGAAGATTTTCCTTACGAGGACTTTGGTTTAGAATTAGAGGGGCGATTCCGCTTTCAACTGCTTGTTATTTAGCTTAGAAAAGCTAGGTGTTGAAAGATATAAGATACAGAGTATGGTGGAGTCCATTATTTTGGACTCACTGGGAATCCTGCACCATGGCCTCAATTAAATCAGGTCATTGCTTTATATATTCGGGTGACGGAATTGAGAAGAATGAAGATGAGAAAAGAAAGAAAACAACAAATGACATTTTCATTTACGAAGTGTATCTGGCTGAAATGTTTGATATTGTCCACCAGGTAGATTAGTATGCTGTGTCAGTTAGGAACTCAACATAGTTGAGCAGTATTACAATTTTGCTGTTGTTCCCTCTCTAATGTTATTTTTGCCTTATAAGTTATTCTATTTTATTATATCTCTCATATTTCATGATTATTTGATTCGTTGCTCAATTTTAATCTTGTTTTTCCGTCAATCACGTATATTTGTTAGATTTATTATATTTTCATGTATTTTCATATTGTCCATTATCTTTCCATGTGTACGTTTTTAGTGTCTCCTAAACATATAATATTTCATATGAATTGT